TAACTAACTAACTAACTAACTAACTAACTAACTAACTAAGTAACTAACTAACTAACTAACTAACTAACGAGAAAATCACATGAATTGAGCTGTCTTCCCGGATGGTGTGTTCTTTCAAAACACAGGTGATTAGTTGAATACGTAAATGTGCGCCAACTGTGTGGTAGAATCCACGGAAAACGAAAAACCCCTAACTTTGTCGAAACAGACTGACATACTTTGTTGCTCGATAGTTCCTAGTTGACAAGTCGGTTTAGTACCTTTATTCGCACACAGCATCATGTTCAGGTAAGCGATGAAATCTTTTCCACCGAGAGATTTTCAGTAGTCGCATATTGCGGCACGAGCTGTACAAAGGTCGCCTCAGTTTCCGCTTGCTACCATGTTTGAGATATCGCAGTAGATTTTTTGATGAAGCACACTGCTCAGCTAGGCTCAGTTGAGTCTCCGTTCACACTAGATAGTCGTTCAGCTGTAACACCCATTCGGTACCTAACTGCCATCTCACCTGAAGAAAGCACGAGGGCTGGGATACTGCCAGGTTGCCCAATTCTTGACAGGAGAAGTAGAGAGGCAGAGGTCGGGTTCGAACCACGGACCTTCCGATCAGTAAATTCGCCATCTAGGGCAATCTCGCCCCCCGTTCACACTAACTTAATCTCCAAATGAGTGCCATCGAAGTCGGTCACGCAGGGCAAAGGTTGCACAGACATGATGCAAGTGAACACTGCCTCGGGCCGTCTATGTACTGACAAATGCATGTGCCGTGGATAGAGTGATGATCCTTAAGATCTAATTTCGCGACCAAAGTGTCATCAGGATTGTATTTATACGACAATTCGCAGAAATATCATCCGCAATGTATAGTCAAAATCCCTCAGCCATTCCATTCACAAAGGCAACAGACGTGTGCGCTTGAACGATCATAAATCGGTCACAGATGAATCCGACGATATGGTCGTTTCCGTTCCAACTCAAATCCATTGGGCGAGATGGCTCAAGTGGTTAGAGAGCGAATTCAGTGACCGGAAGGTCTGTGATTCGAACTCGACTTCCTCTGTCTAGGCTTGGGCAACCTGGCAGTATCCCACTCCTCGTGCTTCCTTCGGGTAGCATGGCAGCTAGACACTGAGCGATATGGAGATGTCAAAATTCGTCTGAATCGATCTTCGCACGCCTCCAAAGGACCCATAGGCTATTTGGCGCAAGATTATTGCAACTGCAAAGAGGTTGTAAATCCTAGAGGATCGCCTGATCATTCTACAGTTGAGGAGATATTGTATACGAACAAAACGCCTGCACGTCCCCACTTGATGGTAATGAATAAGACCCTGTAAGTGTCAGTGTCGGCATTTGCAACCAGACAAGTGGAGCGTGAACTTTGCAAACAAACAAAAAACGGCACAACACGTGCCGTGGTACAAGCATTAACAAGACAGGATCTATCCGGCTACTGTTTATGTGCAGCGGCCAGTCAAGGTGTTTGACGACCCACGTTGTGACCCCTGTTTATTTGACCTTGTGTTTTGTGGGTCACGATCATTAATTAGATGGTCAGCTGAGTCCCGTCCAAACACGTTCTATCTGATGTGATTTCTGGTAAACAAATTGTCTGCATTCTGCATCTGAGGAAGACCCTTGTGTGGCTGGATAATTCCCCTAGAAGAGTGATTCCTAATGAGACAGTAGACGACACGGTTTGCGCACAGAGTCATAAAAATTCCTTTATTTCAGGGCGTTGTACATCAGGATGCTCACAGAATTTGTCCTGACTCATTACAGAACTGTGATGCGACAAGAGTACTTAAACAGCTGTTTCACGTGACCCTCAGTTCATTGGTTCTGTATCTCCAAAATACATGCAGTAATAGGCGTAATACAGTCAGGAAACTGGTGGTGTGAGCGTTTCCGGACACCAAACAGAAAAGTGACTACGATCATCTGAAGCTGCTATCATTATACTCTCATTTTGTTCATTTTCATACTTGTCTAGTATAAAAACCAAAATTCAGTCACGCCGAGCGGCACAAAGTGCACCGGACACGTGGCACACTTGTGCTTGAAAGCGATGTCAGAAGACGGATACTCGTGAAGGGTCCATCTCTTCCAAATGCACGAAAAGTCATGAAGAGCGTTTCCCAGTAGGCAACATTAAGTGTTCAAATTCCCCTTCCACACGCCGAACAGAAACGGAATTTCCTAACTATCCGTGGTTTTCTATTTTACCTATCGCAGTTTCCTTTTGGTGACTAATGGGGAGAGATGGCTCAAGTGGTTGGTATGGCAGCTAGGGACCGGAATGGTGTTACAGCTGAATGATTTTTTTCGATTTTTTTGGTGACTAACTACCATACCCCAGGTAGTTCTGAAGTAACGGACTGGTTGTTGAGGCCGAGCAAAAGAGACCAGATATTGAGAAAGATGTTAAGAAGAGAACCTAATTGTTCCTGCAATACACGCAACCTTACGCTCATGACAAAAGAAAACGTGTGTGCACAACCATCGCCGCAATAGTACACGAAACTATTATCAGTCTCCCATTATTGATTTCCACAGCTTAATATTTTTGAGACAGAGTCTGTTCCGTAGATGGCACAGCTGTAAAACAGTCCATTTCTAGTGCACAGATTTACGTAAGGTTTCTTGCACAAGTTATGCAGTTGCGTTAAACGTGGTTGGTGTATGTAGCATAAACTTGGCTGAATTCATGTGAGAATGCATGTGCAGCGAGACTGCTGAACGTTAGCTTTGTTTGTAGAGGACGCCACATGGGCGAGAACTGTAGCGACACAAGACTCATTGACCACGAGATCATGATAGTGCTATCTTTTATTTCGCTCATCTATACGAGGCCAGTTGAGTATTGGACACGTCTGTATTAAGTTGTCTCCATTCACGTTCGTCTCTTTTGGTAGCGTTTGAAAGAAAGAAAGCGTTCAGCTGTAACACCCTTCCGGTGCCTAGCTGCCATGCCACCCGAAGGAAGCACGAGGGCTGGGATACTGCCAGGTTGCCCAAGCCTAGACAGTGGAAGTCGAGTGGCGGAGGTCGGATTCGAACCACGGACCTTCCGGTCAGTAAATTCGCGCTATAACCACTTGGGCCATCTCGCCCAAGTGTTGTAGTCAGTGGTAGTCGTGCACCAAAGCTACCTCCTTTAATGCGTAGCTGCCCAGTTGCCGAGCTAACTGAATATGCCATTGCCTCCCATGCCCAAGTTCTACGACATTCCGGAGATCAAAAGTGCAGCCACTGGAAACAGTGTATTCTCGGTACACAATTTATATCTGATAAGCTGAACTGAACTGATTCGGATTGGCTCCACAGCTGCCAACTTTTTTCTGCGCATATTTTGGCATGCGTTCTGATAGCTGATATGTCTACATGAGAGTAGAATTGGTGTTCTGTCCGCTTCGATTACGGAGATCAGCGACCACAAGTCTGATTTTTTTAGACATGACAAACAGAGGGATATAGAGAGGCCGAGAGTCATTGCAACTGGCGAGTCTGGCGGCAATCGAAGCAGAATGGCGCCATGGCATTTTCATGTTCACAGGGTGATATGACCACACCTGTTGTTTCCATTCATTTTTACCCAGTAAGGTGCTAAGTCCACAAAACGAGATTTTTTGACAGGCAAGTGCGGCGCCAGTGTCTGAGGTTGGAAAGAACGCTTGGCTATTCTGGTGTTCGAACGACAAATAAAACTCCACCGCGTGCGTTGTACACATCATTCGACACTCAATCACATTCGAACCATTCACACATCTTGAATAAGCTCGTAATTGGGGGAGGATAATTATTGAAATAGTCCATTGCTCTAAACTTGAGACAGTTTCATAAAAAAGGAGTAAGTCAAATTTTGAATCGATAGGGGCAACCGAACGCGTCATCACTCTGCACAAGCGCGCTACAGTTTCACTGAAATCTTGCTAGAAAATTGTGGCATCAGGACGAAAACAAGCTGAGACGATCGAAACGGCTAGCCGATATAACACGTAAAGATTCCATTTCCACGACTGAAAGGTGTGAGGAAGGTTGGAGAACTGTTGAGCGGCGAGCCATGCTCTAGCGGCTCTCTTGATGAAAGATAGAATATTCTCTCCAACAAACGAGTTCAAAATTTAGTGGAATACACTCGTTTGCAAAAAAAATTGGTTTTGCAAGAGACCCACCTGGAACCCAGCTGAATCTCTTGTTTGTGATGTTTCTAGTTGAAAATTTATCCCCAGGAATGGAATACCAAAGTGTCTGGGCCATCTGATATCACAAAACATCAAACGTGGAGAGATGGGTCGCCTAGTGAAAAAAATCGTTCAGCTATAGGACCCTCTCGGTGTCTAGCTGCCATGTCACACGAAGGAAACACGAGAGCTGGGATACTGCAAGGCTACCCGAGCCTAGACAGGGGAAGTCGAGAGGCAGAGGTCGGGTTCGAACCACGGACCTTCCGGTCAGTTCAGTAAAGCTCTAACCACTTGGTCGCCTAGTACTAATATATAAGTGCTTAATTGTAGTACACTGTGAGCGGACGTTGGCGAGTAGACTAGGTTACCAGCCACTAGTTTCTTGTTTAATTCTCATTTGAGAATTAACAAAACATTCGTCCTGCTTTGCGATCGAGTTGCCCTGATCGATTTTCTGTCAGACGCAAAAAAGCACCTTTCTCAGAATCCAAAATCTACAGCGCAGCTTGAAAACAGTACATCATTGTCTCCGATTTAGATTAGACCCGAAAAAAACATTGCTATAGACAGGGTTGTATCACGGAAAATTGCCTCATGCATTAGGTGCGGGTTAACTCCTGACCGACAGCAGCAAAGGGGAGATGGCCCGAACGTGAATTTACTGACCGGAAGGTCCGTGGTTCGAACCCGACTTCTGCCTCTCGACTTCCGTGTCTAGGCCTGGGCAACCTGGCAGTATCCTAGTCCTCGTGCAACCTTCGTGTGGCATGGCAGTTAGGCATCGAAAGGGTGCTACAGTTGAACGACAGCAACAAGCCTTGTTTGGCTAGTATGTGGTTAGCCCAAAACGGTCATAAGTTGGCGTCTACAACCACATCCAGGAGAGTAGAAGCATATGACTTCATCGACCTCATTTGTCCAACATTTCTCTAATAGGGCTGGCCAGAGAATAAACCATACCTAGATTAGCTAGGTACGTTTGCCGCCAAAGGAAGTGATCGTGCACACACCCAGCATGTGGATGCTAGGTGACAGACGGTACCTTGCATGAGGATATGTAGTTTGCGGCCTGTGAGCGAACCCAAGTTGCATACTTCACTCCATCTGGACAGTCCCATTTATAGTGACGCGGAAGATGGAAATTGATTCTCATGTGTATGGCGTGCGCATCAGTTGACCATCTGCCGCGTTTTCTTCCTATTATCGTCCAGAGCGATTAGCGCCTTGGATTGATGGTGTATGGTCCGGGATATGATGCCAACATGTGTGTGGGAAGCAGCGGCGAGTCTAGTTTTTCACCCTCAATGGCTGTTTCCTGAGTGGACGGAGTTTGTTTGTCCGTGAGAAGAAAGCGCATATTGACTCACCGACGAAATCATTAGATATGCGCTGTAGGTAAAGGGTGTTTTTCTCTGCTTCGGTTTCTGCTGCACGCGAAATGCATGACAACAAGTGTCCGACAACAAGAGGTTCCCTCGATTATGCAGTTTTTCGAATGTGCCGTTGGTGCGTGTAGTAGTATATGAAGACATTTGGATAAACGACTAAGTCCGTAATAAACCCGCTCTTGTGGTTTTGCTTCAAGATGTGGTACACTGAATCGCGTGTATTTACATGACCAGAAACAATCGATTTGGAATTCAACAGAAAAGCCATTGGCTGAAGAAAATCGATATGACAGTAGATGAAGTTCAAAGGTTAGTCCAAACCTTATCGCTTCATCGGTCCCCGGGACTTTGGTGTGCAGCCCTGAACGATATCGGCTTCACTGAGCTGAACACAAAAAGGCTCGTGCCACTGTTACGTAACATGATATTTCTCCGTCAATCTGGTGATCCATAAACTGCCCTGCGACTGATCAACAGGGCGCATAAGTCAGGCTAAGTCAGGCATTTTACTGACCAATCAGATACTCGCTTGCATAGACATCTGCCACTTCCGCCAGTAGTTGACCTGAATGGGGGTTGCTTCATCGAAAGCATCGACAGTAATCGCAACCCCCTTCTGTTCTTTCCACCGCGTGGTAATTTGCCCAGTTCTTGCTTTCCAACAGGTTGAGTATGAAGTTAAGAACGACGCTGTTCTCGGTAGACGATCACTAGCCACGTGAAACACACGACCAAGCCCACACAGCTTGTACACATCATATACATCATATGCATTCTCAGTCACTTCCGTTTTGCTAGTGCGACAACTCGGATGTACAAATTGACCTTAAATTCGTACGATACTCATCTGAGGACCATGCTATGTCCCAAGTAGCACTTAGTTGAACTGATCTGGTCCGATTTGAGAAAGAACTACCTGATGGCATAACAACCTTCATAATGCATAGAGCTTAACCCAAAGTTTATCACCAACAGACTGGTGTTTGAACACGACAGAAATCAATTTTCCACTCAAATGGCTTTAGATTTAGGACGTTCAGAAATGGGTCAATTGAACTAAGAATCAAATAGAGTACCGACAAGACCATATTCAGGCAGTCCACCACCAGTAGCTAGTTCAGTTAGCGCTTTTTCCAATAAATCGGGTTATGGGGATTACACATTTGGAAGGCAAAACGAGAATTTGATTTTTTGGGAGGAATCGCATCAATCCGAATGGATCAGTTTGGGTTCTAAACTTTTAGTTGCCCGTTTGGCATGAACTATGGTTACTTTTCCCTCAGTCAGGCTCGAACACGTGGACAAAATAATTGGAATCAAGTGAACAGTGGACGCTTTCGAAAACGTTCAGTTAAACAGCAACCCAGTAAATACACTCGTTTGCAAATCAACTTGAATTTCATGGGTGGGACTTCACGGAATCTCTCGATATTGATTTGCAAATGAGTGCATTTGTCGAATTTAATCCAATGTGGGTTCAAATAGAACATAAGGTTGACGGAGACTCGGGGACTACGCCTACCTGATGAGCCCCAAGCGGAAGGGCGAAACCGGTCGTGGGCTGTCGAAGAGTTTTCAGCAGCCTTGTGAGTAGTTCCCATTTTCAACTCCTTGTTTAACACAACGTCATCCACGCGTGATGGACCGTTCCACTGGCATTACTAACCACAGAACGGCCAAAAAATGAAGAAAACCACTCTAGACTACTGAACAGACCTCCGCTCGACAAAAAAACAGACCAGTGTTTGAACGAAGGGGGAATATATTTCTTCCGATGTTAACTGAGAATCTTCAAAGTTAGCGAATGACGGATGTGCTACTCTCCAGGGAAATACAGTCCAAGAGCGATGATTACGAGTGAGCAATCCCATTTTCGGTGACTCACCGCAACAGTTTTGTGCCAAGGTTGGTTGAGATCAGAACAAAAGGAGAACCAATCAGAAAGATCTCTTTCCAGTATCAAGTTGAATCGGTGTAGCGTGTGAGCTAAGGGCTTCTGTTTGTTAGGGTGGGTCCAGCCTAGGGTTCGCCCCACGTGAAGATGATTCTTGAGTGTTGTTTTCAATTTTATTCGTCTGTCTAGATGAGATGATGCTAAGAGGGTTGTGTAAGTGGCAGGAATTACCTGAACTTTGGTCTGGTTGGGCTTTCCAGCCATTTTGCTGATAATTCCATATTTGTTGACATCCACACTATTACTTTTAAATTCGACCGCTTTCCATACGCTAGCCAGTTCTACGACTTTGCCTCCATTCACACTATGACGCTTGGCAACTTCGACTGCCTCGGTCATCAGCCGCTGCGGTGTGAGTAGTAGTCATCTTCCTAAAACTACCACATTTCCCAGATGTTCCTCGCCATCACCGACCAGCATTCACACCGCTTGGGGGTTTATTTCAAGACGGAAACAGAAATAAACATCACAGCTGCTGATAGCCAAAACTACGGCCGGTGGATCCGACCGGTTTTCTGGAGGAATTCGCTCTTTGGAGGCACAAAATTGGTAAAGTTTCCTTCATGAGATTCAACATCGCGACAGAAAATAAAATCGGCCAACACATACTGTAAAGCCGATCACTTCTTCACATCTACTCCTTCGAATCCCAACGCATCGATTTTCGCGGGAATACTCACCTAACTGGAACCACACGAGTAAACACTTCGAGAATGATTACTTTTTGTGTGATACTCAACCAGTAAAAACGTTGGAAAAATCTGTAGCACGTTATACAAACCCGAAGCTGCCTTGTCCTATCCTGTCAGTGTATGTTGTGGAAAGATTGTACTGGATGGCTTTGCTGGCGTGCACGCGATACAGGAATAGCGGGTAAACTCACGGCAGTTTTTCATACTGTATTTAACTACCCTTGCACAATGAAAAGACGGAAATGTGTTGACACAATATGAAATGCAATGTCCACAAACCCGAAGAGGAGAACAATAGATTGCCAGAAAAATGATGATAAATATACTTATTAATAACTTTGTGTGCACAAGTGGGGATGGGTGGACTATCATTCACCATGGCAACCGGTAGTGGCTACGTGAGAAAGCTTGCCCAGATATTTTGTTTTGTGCACCAGGAGAAGAAAACGGTGTCGTTGTTGGGAATGGTTCCACCCTCCATCATGCCCGCCAGGTGGCTATAGTGACTGACGAATTATGAAGTGAATTAATTTATCAAAACCACCAGCCAGGATTGATTTTGAATACAAAACTGAAATACAATGGTCAGTCCGAACAAAGATAACCCACGAGGTCAGACCGAGAATCACAGCGAAGCACTGAGATCAGTGCAGTAATACTGTGGCCATCTTTCAAAGCATCTCTCCACGGAGACCAGCTTTATCGTCCACAAACAGAATCACTTTGACGATTCTGTTAGGAAGTCAACACTTTGAAAACATCATCTAGAAGGTCACTAGAGGTAGCCCTTCGAAATAAGGGTTTCGAGTGGTCCCATCATAAGCATCCTAAATTCCCCAAAAATCCCAAGCCATAAAGTGTTCTCGTGTACGCCTCCGTAAAAAAAACAGCTTACGGTGCCGATATTCAACTAATACGGTGAACTTAGGTTCCACTGTGCGTTAAGGTTGACGAGGATCATAACTTTACTGGCCTTGTCAAGAATATTACAAGGCTATACGACAAGTATGTGAACGAATTTAGATATGTACTGACCCTTAGTAGAAAAAATTGCCAAAAGTGATCCAGAAAAAAGTAAAGTTTCCTGTATTTCTTGGAGAAAGCATCTTTGATGTTGTTAGCAATCAGCCAATTAGAGAAGGATATTTCCTAAAAACAAAGTCCACTCGTAGTAGTTACAACCTAACTGTTTCGATATACCAAAGTGGGTGGTTTGACCTCTAAGCTAATCCCAAATATTTACACACCTTTGTGAAGTATGATATTATATATATAT